AGCAAGAAAGTCACACACTTGTGTGTTTAAGCAAGGAAGTCTTTGTTAGAACAAGATTTGGTTTTGCATCTGGCCTTATGTTTTAATGATAACAATACATAGTGTTTTAGAGAACAAATTTTACCCTAATAAGTTTGCTCATTGTGCATATTTTATATTCAAGTTCTGACTTTGGCTAAATGATGTATGACGTCATCAGACTCTAAAACTAGTGCACTCTAACTATAGGTTATGTGTTTACAAAGATAATCAAGCTATAGATTCTGTACTCAACACTTCTGACATCAATTTATCCAAGGCTTTGGCACTCTGAAGCTTTTAAAACTGTTATGCTCTGAAGCCCTTCGCTCAAAACAACTCTGAACTTTGTCAACAGACTCTAAAGACCAGGTTCTGAGGAACTAGATCAAGACTCTGAAGACCAAAGTTTATGAAGATTCTCTAGACCAGATTCTTACTCTTCTCTTATGCATGCTTTATAATCTATTTATTAGAAGCCTCTGAATATTGAAGATAAGATCAAACAATTTTACGTGAGAAAAATAGTACATAATACATGATCAAATATTCCTTCCATTACACTATTTTGTTGGATAAGGATTGTACTATTGTACCATTTTTTCTCCCATTTTCGCAAAATGTTATGAAGGATACAAATTCATTTTTTAATTCAAATTCTACCCTCCAACGGATCTCTTCATTGTCAATATAAAGAAGACTTGGAAGAATGGAAAAGCACGACCTCACGCACCTCATTCGAACGCTATCATCATATGTGAACAAGTGCTATTGCGAATATTTTGAGAGAAAAGAAACACTCACACAAGAAATTTTGTTCATAATATTCATTGTAAATCTTTTGAGTGACTTTTGTATTTCACTTGTGTATTCTGCTTTCTTAGAAGCAACTTGCAAACACACTCTTGTATCAATCTTTTGATTATATTTTTTATTCCTTGAGTGACTAGGGTTTAGTCAGCAAACTCAAGAAGACAATGACAGTTGGTCTTTGTTTTGTAATCAAGTTGATTATAGTGGATTACGTCCTTGTTGATAAGGCAAAATTACCTTGGCGGGTGGACTTAAGGTAGCTTGTGTTATACAAAACCATTATAAAAATAATTGTGTTATTTTTTATTCTTCATTCACTATTTCTTATGTTGGGTTAAAAGTTTTCATTTTTAGAAACCGAATTCAAACCCTCATTTCTTGTGTTTTCCTTTATCTTCAATTGGCATCAGAGCTCTAGTTATGGTATTGATTGCGTATCAAACAGTTCACTGTGTCAGATAAAGATCTAGCTTGTGAAACATAATGGAAGAAGTCCTTCCACTAGATACACTCATTGATAGAGATCACTACAGTGCAAAACCTCCATATTTTTTCCTTGTTTATTATATGGATCTATAGGATATGGTAGTTGATGGCTATGTTCATCCTATAGATGCTAGTGGTAACAAGGTGGAAATAAGAGTGATGGTTGATCAATAGAAGAAAGACTACAAGAATCATCACAAAGCAACAACCATCTTGTTAAATGCAATTTCATACACTGAGTATAGAAATATCACAAATAGATATACAACAAAGTCCATATTTGATTCTTTGAGAATGACTCGTGAAGGAAACACTCGAGTTAAAGAAACCAAGACACTTGCCTTGATTCAAAAGCATGAAGCCTTCAAGATGGAAGAAAATGAAACTGTTGAGAATATGTTATCAAGGTTTCAAACTCTTGTTACAGAACTGAAAGTTCTGGATAAAGGTTACTCAACTGCAGATCATGTGGAGAAGATTATCAAAAGCTTACCCAAGAGATGGGGGCATATGGTAACTACACTGAAACTTTCAAAGAATATGAATAACATAACTCTTGAAGAACTTGTGAGTTTTTTGAGATGTCATGGGATAAAGCTTGAAGAGGATGAACCTCAAAGAAAAGTTGAATATGTGGCTCTAATATCCATGGGAAAGTCTAAGAAGACCAAAACCTTTCAAGCTAAAGAAGAAGAAGAAGACTTTGAAGAAGAAGATGAACTATATCTTCTATCCAGACGCGTTAATCAACTTTGGAAGAAAAGACAAGTCAAGTTCAGAGGCTCCAAAAGGACAAGTGGTCACTCTGAGTCTACATATGGACTAAAGAAGTCAGGTGTTAGAAAGGACTTCAAATACATATGTAGAAGATTTTCTCAAGGTAGCATGAGGAGAATTTATCAGCTAAATAAACTTGATTTAGTCAGAGACCTAATCTAAAGTTTGCTTCAGATGTTTTTTTGTGAAGAATGTCAGAAAGACAAGTTTTAAAAAAGAAGACATAAAATAAGTGCAAAACATGACATTGGAGAACTCTCTAAGTTTAACCTTTCATTAAATTTATTCACATTTAATAGATGTTTGACCGATGAAAATATGATTTGTAAAACTAATATGGGATTAATTACTATTTCAGTGTTAATAATTAATAAAATTTAAAAGTAATAAGATATTTTAATATTGTAACTAAAAATGTATATTATTTCTTCACCAAGCTTTTCAGAAATTTGAAATGATACAAAAACATGAAAGACATGAAGAAATCCCTGAACGATGGAATAGTCTCTATTATGGTGAATCATTAAGACCGGGACTCAACATCTAATGTAATTTGTTTTTAGCTATAGAATAGTATATGTATGTGTATGCTGTAAATTTGTTAATGAGAAAGTGATAAGAATAAAATTCTATATAAATGATCTACTGTAATTTTTATCATTAATCCAATTCATGCATTGAAAATCTCAGGCTTACATTAGTACAATAATTTTTATTACATTTAATTTAGGCATAATTAGTCCATAGGTCCCTTAACTTTGGGCGAAGTTTCGCTTTGAATCCCGAACTAAAAAAATGTTACATAATAATCCCTTAACTTCACTTCCGTTAACCCATTTGGTCTCTACCGTTAATTTGTGTGAAAATTGTTAATTATCGTTGAGAAGGCATGTCAGGTAAGCAAATGGGATGTTCAACATTCAGCTTCTGTGTTAAAAACACTTTAGGATTCATGGGTTACATCTTCCATTTACAATATTCATCCATATTTTCTTCATCTTCCATTTTCTTCTCCTTCCATTTTCTTCTCCAAAATACTAAAAGAAAATTGAAGAATGAAACTTATAACAACACAATTTTCTTGTCAATTTCTCTTCTATTTTCTGTGACACAACTAAAATGAGTGGTTGTTTTTCTTCTTCAATTTTCATTTGGGTATCTTGTTTTGGATCTTCCATGAGAACACAAAGTGTAAAGTTTTTCAATTTTTGAAATTTTGGATTTGTTCTACATCTTAGAGGGGAAAAGATAAGTGCTGGATTTAATTTTTGGAGGTGAGGAAATAAAAGTTTGTAGTGACGGTTTAAGGTTGAAAAAATTGATGAAAGCTTAGAGGTTGAAAAAATTGATGCTTGATTTTGTAATTGTTGAGGTTTATTGAGAGAGAGAAAGGATGAAATTGGTGTTGGAGTGGTTGTTTTTCTTTCAATTTCTCTTAATTTTCCTTGACAATTTCTCTTCTATTTTTTGTGACACAACTAAAATGGGTAGTTTTTTTTTCTTCATCGATTTCTATTTGGGTATCCTATTTTGGATCTTTTATAAGAACACAAAGGATAAAGTTTTTCAATCTTTGGAATTTTGTGTTTGTTTTGCATCTTAGAGGGGAAAATGTTGAAAAAATTGATGAAGGTTTAGAGGTTGAGGTAAAAATTGAGAAGAAGAAGAAGGAATGGAAGAAAGAGTTTCTTTCATGAAAGAGTGATGAACTTCTGCAGAGATGAATGATTCTTGTGCCATTAGCTTGGTCCAATGTATAATATTTTAATCAATATAAAATAAATAAATTTTCAACTCAGCAACTAAATGTCCAGCTAATAAAAGTTTAACGTTTTTTCACCAAAAATTAATGGAAATGACTAATATATGTAATAGAGTTTAAGCTAATGGACTACTATGTGTAACGTTTTTTTTTGAAGGACCAAAAAGAAACATTAAAGGACCAAAAGAGGTATTAAGCCTTTATTTTATTATCTTTCCATGTTGAACAAATTGATTCAATATCTAAGACAATTTTGACGGTACTTGATAAAACCGGTAAGCTTATTATTATGCCATAACAGTGTGTTTAATACTGCGACGAGTGAAAATGACGAGATGGTAACCTGATTCAAAAATAAAATAAGATTGATTAACCAACCAATAATAATTAAATTGATTAAGCTTTTTTGATTTTTTTCTATATAATTTAAGTTTTTATTCCAAAATAAAAAAAATTATAATTAAATTGAAACATTTGAATTTTGGACAATAACTCGATTATAACCCGATTCAAAAATAAAATAAGATTGAATAATCCACCAATAATAATTAAACTGATTAATAACCATTTAATTATATCAAGATATTTTAAACTATTATATCATGTTGTATCATCAAACTATGAATTAAGATACAATATAATACAAATATCCTATTATATTCTATTTTTTATCCTACGCACCAAACGACCCTTAATTTCTTCGAAAAAAAGATTATCATACCCTTAACTTCAAAAAAAAAAAAAAAAATTATCACTCAAGTTAAAATAAAATAAAAGGGTAGTGGTGTTCTTAAAAATCTTGTCCAACTACTATTGATTTTAGTTTTTAGTGTGTCTTTTTTTTTTTTTTTTTTTTTTTTTTTTAATATTTGGCTTCCTAATTGATTGGTAATATTTCTCAGAATATTTTAGAAATTTCTCAGCGGAAACATATAATTCTCAACATTGAATTTTCTAATATAATTTCAACTTTCATTCAAGCTTGGTAATTCATTAAAACAAAAGTACATAACATTTCTCACTGATCCAGAATCATGAAAACATAATATAAATAGAGAAATCACCCAAACCACACCACTAAGAAACCAACATAACAAACCCTTTATTACAAGATATAATCTTAACAAAAGCAATTTCTTCAATCTTACTTCCCCAACAAGGTAAGAATGAACTTCTTATAGTCCCCTGAAATTTCCTTGGCAATTGCATCTTCAAGATGAACACTGTTTCTCTTATAATACACCTCTTTGATGTCCTTCAAATCCTTCTCAGCTCGAGTTACCACAACACGGGTCAGTTCATCCTCGTCGGTTCCAATCCTTTTCAGCGCGCTACGCAAAACCTAAACATCATGGTAAATAAAAAACAAAGTATAATGTAAGACAAAGATCGATGTCACAAGAGTCCATGACTTTATTGAAAGTTGGAATCTATCTAACCTTTTCATAGTACTTCTTATGATCACTGATGCATCGAATTGTGGTGTGCAATGCTTTGTGAAAGTCATCAGATGCATTATCCAAAAGTTTCTGCAAACAAAATCAAAATATATAAACATGTAGAGAAAACTTAAGGCCAAAAATCAAAGAAAATGGAAGACGAAAAAGTGATGTTTTCTTTTTAACCTTAGTTATGGAAGTGCCATGATCATCTTTGTAACGATTGAAAGTTGCCAAAAGCTGAGTTTTGCTCCTTGTAGTAAGGATTCTTATGGCTTCTTCATAATTACCTTTTTTCTCCTTGATTGATTCATGAAGAATATCAGCTTCGGTTTTCGCCAATTTCGGATTGATCTCATCACCACCATATCTAAATGAGCTCACCAATCCAACCAATAGCTGCAAAGAACCAAAACCAAGTACATACTCAGAATCAAAGTTGACTCAAGATTTTAGAAACTCTTTGTAGATTAATCGTTGCAGATGATTGAATAACTTGCCTGGCGAAGATGGCCAGTTGTATGAGCAGCTACATCTTCTTCCAAAGAATGCTTGTATCGATTATGATACGCGCGTCTCAAAGCCAAAACTTCTTCAGGAGAAAGAACACTAACAATTTCAATGATAACATGGTAACCTTTGCTTCCATCCTTGATGGCAACATTGGCCAAAACAGCATCGCGTTCAGCAGGTTCCAGCATCCAACGGTACACAGCTCTCTGAAAAATATGACTCGTAATTAACTTAAGACATTATAAGCTAACAAAAATTAATGTTGTCAATTATGTTATACCTCGAAGTCACCAGAGATTTCAGATTCGAGGCGTTTGAGGAGATCCTCTTGGTATGTTTCTTGATAAGTTTTTCTGATTTGTTGTCTTTGATAAACACTTCTATGACCAAGTATTGTTATCACACTCTTCTCATCAGTACCCCATCCTACACATTTCAAACAATAAATTATAATTTGATAATAGTTTACAAATAAATACAAATTTTTCGGATAGTATAGTGTCAGGTCCTCTTAAGTCGTCTTAAGTTTTCTGATACACAATATACAAAAAAGACTATGAAATGAGATTGAAAATTATACAACCTTTGAAAGCTTTATGAAGAGCTTCTGCATCTGCAAGAGGAGAATGGTTGGCGGGAGCAATACGAGTAGCCATAATTGATTATGTTGTTCCTTATACTATGATGCTAGTTAGGTTCATCTCTTCAATATATATATAGCACAGTGAATAACCTATAGAGCTAAAAGTTATTGATTTACAGTGTTAAAGTTTTCTAACAATGCCAAGTTTGTTTAGAGTAATATTGTCAAAATTTTCTATAATTAATAAGGTTTTTCTCTAGGAAAGTTAATACTAAAAAGGTTTATATGAGCCTAATTGAATAAGAAGGTTTTAATTATTTTTGTCAAATTTATACGTCTTATATTTACTCTAATGCTATACAGCTAAGAATGAACTATGCTTTCATTTGTCCAAATTTGCTTAGAGAAACTAAAAGTTAATTTGTTGAAAGCAATATCAAATTCTGGAGTTTTGAACATTTAGAGAAATTGAGTGGTCTCAACTACCAAAATTGTATCTAAAAAAACTATTACCTTTAAAAGCTTTTTGGAGAGCCTCAGCATCTTCAAGAGGAGATGATTTTATTGTAACAAGGGTAGCCATAGAAAACACTACTCTCTCAACAAGATTAGTTGATGATATTAGAGATTGGTTTCATCACCAGCTTATATATAATGCCAATGGTTTTCTTTGGGGTTATCGCCTCTTCGCACACAGATCATCCCATTTGAACGTTACTTTCATGTGAAGATTATTATTATTATTAAATTACTTAATTTATTAGCATTCTTTGGCATTAAGAAACCCATTTTAAATTTTAGAAATTAAAGAAACAGAAAAGGAAACTTGATTCCTGGCTCAATTGGTGTGACTTTGCATGGAAAAGGAGAGTAGGAATGTATTTTGGTGCTTTTTTTCGTCCCTTTCTGGTTGTAAGGGTGGCAAATTTCACTAGAATTGATGATCTGTGATTTTATTGTTTTCTTATACGTTGTATACTTTAGGACGGTGTATGTTTACTCTAAAGACTTTTGCTTTAATTTTAAGTTTTTTTTTTTTTTTAAATTTAAAATTGTATTTAGATTTAAATAATTTAAATAATATAAAGCATAGAATCAATATCAAATTAACTTTATTTTATTTTTGAAAAAATCTTTAATATTCATGAAAAAAATTGAGTGTCTAGTGGTGTGGCATTTTGTCTTTCACTTTATGCAATGCGGGCTAAGATTTTAGCTAGGGATTGTAAAATGGATAGATTTGATAGATATAAATTGGATTGTTAATGGATGAAACAAAACAATCTATTAGTCAATTAACAATCTACTAATTCAATCCATCCATTAATATATTTTTAATGGATGTATATCTATCTATTCAAATATTTTTTAATTTTGAAAAAACAAATATTTTTTTTTAAATTTGATTTTTTTTTTATATTTTCAAAAAACTCAATTTATTTTATGTTTTTGGAAAAATCTATTTTATTTTATTTTTGAAAAAAATTGTTTTTAAATATATTTGTGAAAAAGTTGACTTTTTTGCTTTCGAAATTTCTTTTTTGTATTTTTTGTATTTTCGAAAAAAATTGGCTTTTTGTGTTTTTTAAAAAGTCGATCTTTTAATTTTTGAAAAAAAATTGTTTCTTTTTTTTTTCGAAAAAATCAGTTTTTTTTTGAGAAAATTCGACTTTTTGTATTTTTCAAAAAATTGATATTTTAATTAAAAAAAACTGTTTTTTTTTGAAAAAAAATTGATTTTTTAAAGAAAAAATGTCAGTTTTTCTTTGAAAAAAAATCAATTTTTAATTATTAAAAAAATATATATAACATAAATAAAAATAATTCATTGGATCCTTAAAATATGTTGAATGAATTTAATCCAATCCATTAGCTTACTTTTTATGTGGTGGATGGATTGAATAAATTTTTTTGTGTGAATGAATTGGATGAATTTTGTCTTAATGAATTCAATTGTCATCCCTAGTTTTAGTGTCTCTATTGTGTCTTGTTGTTTTGTTCTGTTTTTTTTCTTCCTTTTGAAGTATGTTTGTTAAGGATAACAATTGATAAAATTTGAGCAAAATATTATATTACTTAGGACCGACTAACATATCGCGAGGTCCGAGACGAAATTTAAAATTAAATATTTTTAATTAATAAAAATATTTATAATTTAAAATTTTATTATCTATAGATGTAATTTTTAAATAACACATCAAACAATACATCTTATTATATATTTTAAATAGGTGTTATTATTTAACTGATATGTAACATAATTTAAAATATTTTTTAATAAATAAAAATCATTAAGTAAAATCATATATAAATATAAAATAGGAAAGTGAGGCCCTATGCGGTAGCCTTGGTAGCCTACCCCTAGGGTCGGCCCTAATAGTACTCGTTCCTATATTTGTCGTTTGAAAAAATCTTCGTATTTGATGTTGAGTTATAATTCCTTGTGTCGAAGTAGTGTAGCTCGACAGGAACAAGGTCTAGTCGAATTAGCCTAATGTGTGTGTGTGGAGTTGTATTAGTGTGTCGAAGTGTCGAAGCAGGTTGCTTCACACAGGATTTCGACTTAGGCCTATTTTATTAATGTTAGTTATTTTGGGTTTTTATAGTTTTGTGCTTTGCCTTGGGGTGCAAGCTAACTTAAACTTATAAATAAAAAGTTCCCCTTATTTTGTAAACAACTAAGCATTATATTCACATTTTGCAGTTGCAAGTTGTAGCACCCCAAAATTTACCCATCCTTTTGTTCTTTATCTTGGTTTATGTTTCATATCAATTTTGCCTTAGCATTTGTACATATCATTGATCTTAGACAGGGGATCAAGGTATCTTATCTAACAATCAAGAGAAGGGCTTCATCAAGAGCTCAAGCTCAAATTTGTGGCAATCTCAAGTCACAAGGTCTCTATCATCATCAAAGCATGTTAATCAACCACTTTAATCAAGAACACAAGCATTGATTCTTCTCCTCCTATCTCATGGATAACAAGTTAATATTTTGGTTCAAAGGAGATTTGTGGCTAGTTCTTTGGGCAAGTAATGATTCTGAAGCTCAACACACACCTTGAGGGTCCCTTACATGGACTATGTGTCATCACAAGCCATCACAAGATCCTCAGTCAGTGGAAATGGTCCTAGGGTTTCACCTGGTCAACAAAAGTCAACTATGATTCAATAAAGTCTAAATCTTGGATCTCAAGGTCAATCAAGAGCATGATAGATGTCTTCAAGTGATTTCATGTGTTTGAAACAAGAAGAATCAAGGAGAAGCATAAAGTCAAGAGTTTGACTAAATTAGGGTTTTGGTGGAAGAATTGTCTAAGTGTAGAAAATCCTAATTATAGTCATCTTGCAACTTCCATAACTTTCTCATTTTCGATCCAATGAAGACAAACTTTGTAACACCCCAAATTTATTAGAATATTTATTTAATTTATTTAAATATGAATATTCACATTTTTGGTGGTTGGTATGAAATATTGAGAATTATGGATTTTGGGTTATTTATTTAAATAATAGTACATAATATGAATATATTGGTATTATTATTATTTTAAATAAATATAACTGAATTAAGGGGAAAATGGACATTTGAGGAGTTAGTGAGGGTGAAGTTGGAAAGCCCATTTTAAAAGGCCAAAGTTAGGTTTAACAAAAAGGAGTTTTGAGAGAATTAGGATTCATTCTTGTTAGACCGTGAAAAGGGAAGAAATAAAGGCCAGAACCCTGAAGGAAGAGGATTGAGGAAAGGCTTCACGAGGTTTCCGAGAATCAAAGGAGAAAGGCTTAGAGACAGCAATTAAGATATGAGGAGTATTGCCTTCATTGTTTTCAATATGTAATTCAATGTATTTAAAGTGAATTTAAGGGTTTAAAGGGTTTGAGGCTGATTTGAGATAAAGGAAATTAGGCCTTCATGGCCAAAATCTATTTTTGAGGTTTTAACCGTATAGGGATTTGAATGGATGGTCTGGAAGGTTTGAGGTCAATTTGGGTTTGAGGGAAAGTAGGCCTTCGTGGCCAAAATCTGTCGTTGAGGTTTCAACCTGTAGGATAATTGGATAGTGAGAACTCTAATGACTGTGGGATAGTTGCAAGGAAATTATGGAAATTAGAGGCATAAATATGATACGGGATTGAACCTATATCCATTAATTTTAAAATTTTTAGGCATAATCTTAAAACGATGATTAGATGATTTAATTGTGTTAAAATTGTAAATTTACTTGAGATAATTACAGTATTAGATGAGTTGTAATTTTTTGAGAGTTTGGGTTTTTACGGAATCTAAATCGGAGGTCCGGAAGGCCTCTAACGGTGAAAAACGTAGAAAATTCTGCATGCTGTCCTTCACGACTGTTCATGTTTTCGGTTGAAATCGTTTTGGACGTAACGTTTGATCCGTAAGTCCGTTTTGGTCCCTGTTCGAAGTGTTGGAAACCTAATGAACATGACTATAACATAGTATAGAAAAGATAATTGGTTGCCCAATATTTTTTATATCTAATATGTTTCGAAAGTCAATTGAGTATATGTTATATTAATGAATTGTTGCACTGTGTGCTGCCGGTTGTGAAATTATTGGTGGATAATTTATCGAATACTTGTGTGTATGCTTGTGCAGTTCTATTTTTATGCTTTGATGCTATGATTTTCTTGATGAATTACCATGAGTATAATTGTGATTTTTATGTGATAATTACATGATTGTATGATGAATTCCTATGAGTAATAATGATGAGTTATGATGTTGATTTCATGAGTTTTGATGAATTTATGATGACATGATTATTATGATGAATGATGATGCACCTAATGAGTTTATTATGAGGATGATATTGACGTGTGCATCATGCATTCATATACATCCGGACTTCGGTTCAGGACCTTGATTTTTGTGGCTTCAGTCCCATTATGCGTATGTGAGGTATTTTGTTGTGCTTCGATTCTCGAGTAGAATCGATCCTACTGTTGTGGATCTATGGAGGGTTGATGGCCCAGTGTCCATCGAATTTTTTTGATTGGTACCACATGCACGAGTCTTGTTGCATTTGCATTTATGTGAAATTTTGGTGT